TTTTAACATTGAAAATGTTTCTGTTATCCTATATAAGGGAGCCCAAATCGAATTAAAATGCTACATTTGCCACACCATGACGTCATATATACAAGGGTATAGGAAATCTCGGCGCAGCGGCGGCAGTCGGCCAGCGCGCGCAAAAACCATTACATCGCTAATTGTTTATTGATATATCTTTATTAGTTTAAAAGCAAAAAATATGGGGTTTGCTTTGATACCTTGTCAAGACATAAGCGAAACTTTTAAATTGTTTCTTTTTTTCATTTAGGCCTTCGTTTTTCGTTAAATGAAAGTTATATTAAAAAAAATCTATTTTTAAACCAAATTTTCGCATGATTGAAATGATTATTCATGTTTAAAGTTTTTTTTGGTCATAAGCGCTAATGGAAATGTTTTTTTGTAAATAATTATAAAAAATTACTCCCTACGAAGACTTTATTGTGTACTGGATCAAAAAATAAGTATTTGTTTTCTCTATACGGTGGTATTAATATATCGATTTTTGATGATAGTGCCCTTTTACCCGGTCTAATTTTGTACTACTTTCGGAATAAGGGTCCCCATATCATGTACTGTACTTCCATCCCTGAAAAATTCAGCTTGTGACACCGAAGTGAGAGGTAACGTCAAAATAAGCTTTAATCTACCTACATCATAGGTAGGTGTAGGTACTCTAGGTATATTCTACCTAGACAGTAGCTGAACTAGCTGACAGTAGTAATTAATTTGTTATCCGATAAGTAGTTTGGTTTGGTTTGGTTTGGTTTGATAATAAGACTAATTTCTTCTTATTGGTAATAAGACTAATTTCTTCTTATTCTTTTAAATATTACAGTGTTTCTTTTTCCTAAAATGTTATACTTAATTTTCGCTTAAAATTAAAAAGTCACAAATGGAGGAAAATATACGTTATTGAATAAAGTTTATACAAATCACTTTACCATAACAAAAAAGTAAAAACATGTCATGGCGGAAGATATTCAGGTGGCATTTCACACATTTATCTATTAAAATCGAGATTAAAATAATAAACTTGCGTAACATGTTATACACGAGATAGAAAGTTTCAGAATCGATTAATACGCAATACGCTACGCAGTCAACTTATTCCTATGCGCGGATGAGCGTCTTCAAGACTCTTCCTTCGGCCAGGGTCACGACGCCGCCGAAGAGGAATCGGCCTACGTTTGGCTAAACAGGCTGGACACGGTGGAGTACGATATTGGCGAGTCTGAATATTTATAAAAATTTGCAAAGTAAAATATGTTGGAAAAATAATTAATCCATACATATATAAAAGCTCAAAGGTTTTTTGTTGCATCCATCCCGCCGAAACCGCTTTACCAATCTTGATGATTCTTTTTTAAATGAAAGGTATATGTGTAGATTTGTTATGAAGTATTTTATAGTGCTTAATGGCTATTTCTTTGTGTAAAACGACTAAATACTAAAACATACCTGAAAAAACACCTACGCACAATACCTCCAGAAATAAATTATTTGTCATTGTCAGTGGTGTGTCAGTTAGATTATATATTACGTTTTAGATATTTTAGAGTGAATTCATGCCGCCAGCTTTACATACATAAATATTAGCACAAAGGTTCGTTTAAACGACATTAGTGAATTAGCTACACAAAGCGATTTTAGGAAATTCATCCTCTTAGAGGGTAAAATTATCTCGGAACAGTTTGTTGTATGAAAATTCCTTACTATTTGGTCTAGAAGAATGAAATCCTACAAAAAGAATTAGAAGAAATTTTTGAAATTCATCAACCAAATGGGTAAAGTTAGTAAAAATTTATATAAAACTTGGTGACCTCTGGATTATACACATAAAAATGGGCACAAAGGTAAAGCGAATTTATGAAATTTATACCCTTAGGGAGTAGAATAGGGAATGAAAGTTTGCTGTAATGAAAATGCAATATTATAACATTATAAACCAGACAGTATAAAATTTTATACAAGGGTTTATCTAGTGACATCATAACGAAATATATCTTCCTCAATTATCCTTCAAAGAATAAAAAATAACCTATAAAGAAAGTATTAGTGCTCTTAATAAATAAAAAAAAGATGAAAAATAAAAGAAGAAAAAAATCTCTCTATAAAGAAGTAAAAAATGCATGAACGATTCGAGGTGTAACGCGAACGTAGTCGCGAGAAAAAGCTAGTAATTTATTAAATTATTTTATTTAACTCATTAATTTTCATTGAAAAGGAATTTTTGTAATTCGCCACTATATTAGTTAAAAACTAAGAAACTCATATCAAATTTAAGTTTTGCGATTTTGACTTACTTAATACTTTTTACAAAATCTGAACACATTTTAAAAGAAAAAAAGTTTTTGATAATATTTGTGTAGATTGACTACAAGTTGTATAACATAAATTTCTACGACCGGTCTACCTAGTCGTCTGCAGCATCGCCTTGTGGTGCAAACGTTGGCCTGTTAATCTGTGACGTGACGCACAACAGCCAAGAAAAACAGAAGCGTGGCTAAGAATTTAGTAATTTAAAAAAAAGACTTTTAGATACAGTAGTAGGTATTAAAAAGTTTTGTGTTTAAATGGGGTTTGCCTTTAACAGTTAAAAAATTATATCGTAAAGTGTAACTTTCCGTAAGAATTCTTTTTTTGCTTGCTTGTTTTACGGATAGGTGCGATCGCATAATTATTATTGATAATGTTTTATTTAATTTTAACATTACTACTTTTTCAGTGAATCTTTAAATCTGTTGTTTTTTGTTAAGTTCGTTATTTAAACATATGTATGTAATACATTCATATTAACACTAATCATATTTTTACGTTTTTATTCATCATTTTCAATGCCCCCCCGGTTGCATCTTTGTAAAGGACTGTGAATTTTTTATCGGACAATAGATTTTTTTACTGTAATATGAAAAATGGTTTTATTAATCATTAAATCTACCAATAATAATACCCAATGAATTAATAATTACAAAAAATAAAACACGCAATATTATTTCATATGGCTCTTTCAACGGTAAAATACCAAAGAAAAATCAAAATTTATATACCGGGTGCGCCTCAAAAGTGGCTCACCCCTATAACTTTTTTATTTTTTGAGATAAAAAAGAGATTTGGTATGTTAGTATCTATCTACATGTATAAAATGCTAATGTTTATCTGTGTCGTCTCTACTGAACTAACGACTTGCTCTAGAAAGTTGCTTTTTTTGCTAAAAAATAGCTAATTGGCTCTTCTAAAAACTGTCGTAGCTGGATTTTTTGTTTTTCATTTAATTAAAAATAAATAAAAGGTATTTTTTTCCTGATGTCGTGGCGGATCCCCCAGGCTTCAACTAGTATGACGTAAATTAGAATTGATTGACGTATTCAATTGTTTTTGGTCACTTCCTGTTTCACCGGAAATGACTAAAACTTTTGATTTTTAGATGGCACTCTCCGTATTTTTTTTACTTTATTCGATAGAAAATGACATACTGAATAGAATGACATATCATAAATATGTCAACTTTTGATATTCTCGCTTAATAAAAAATCGTATTTTAAAATTGGATCTAGAGTGGCTATGTTAAAAACACTAATTCTTAATCAAGGAGCCTTGGAAAAATAGATTTGATCGTCTAATGTTTTTAGTGTCTTGTCCTGGCCAGTTAGAAATTGCTCAAATCGTATTTTTAATCATATCTCAATATTTTCAAATGGAACGAGGGTGGCTCATTAGAATATTTGAAGAAAGCATTTTTTACGAATAATTTGATACCACACACTTCGAGTCAAATTTTCATTACGAACCACAAGTTATAATTTCAAATACACCATATGCGAAAATGTCAAAAGTTGGCATATGATATGTCAGTCTATTCAGAGTGTTATTTTCTTTCAAATAAAGTAAAAAAATACCGACGACGACGGTGCCATTTAAAAATCAAAAGTTGTAGTCATTTCCGGTGAAACAGGAAGTGACCGAAAACAATTGAATATGTCAATCAATCCTAATTTATGTCATATACTAACATACCAAATCTCGCTTTTTAACTGAAAAAATAAAAAAAGTTATAGGGGTGAGCCACTTTTTTAGGGGTGGAAAATGCCATGTGAAATATAAAACCTCGAATATCTGCGAAACAGAAATTATTAAGTACAATATTATTATTATTATTAAATACAAAAAATGTTCATTTTTTAATTCTCCATCTATTTAAAAAAATAATATACAGTGTGTTCCATTAAAAAAAACGGAGAATTATTTTATATTTAAGAAAGTTTGGCATAGAATTTTGAACATCCTGTATGATTTACGATCACCATAGTTATAGCAAAGCGAGTACAGACCATCTAAAGTAAATACCTAATATAGTTTTTATTTCAGGACAGTTCTTGTATTTATAATAATTTTTTAAAAACGGCTGAAAAATATACATTTTTTATTTATTTATTAATGCTCTGAATCTATCGAAAATATTTACTCATATCCTAGGATTATGTAAAGCGATCTGAAATGAAGCAAAAAATGCTATAATATACAGGGTGAACTTTTAAAAAAAAATCATCCCGATCCACTCACTTTTTTGACCCACTCTATAGAAGTTAAAATATTTTCCTGAAATACATCCTATTACATACTTCAGATCTGCACTTAAACTAAATTCTCAAATTTTTTATTTTACCAGCTACAGATGCTCGACTTACTATTGCCGGACGCTGTATAAGTATTAAATTTTACATCAATAATCACCCTTTGGATTATACCGTATGATCGAAAAAAAAACGGCGTCCAGTTGGCTTGGAAATGAACATCGTTGACATTCCCCATATAATTTTACATATAAAATGACAGCGATCTTCATTTCATAGCCATCGCTGACGCCATTTTTATTCGATCATACGGTATCTACTTATATACATTTTTTTGCTCCAATCAAAGACTTTCTTATATCATTTAGTGAAAACAACCTGCACCGAGTAATTAAAACTAACAATTTCATTTTGTTTTTGTTTCAGCAAGAAAAACTCGATAGTACTACGAACTCAACTTTCAGTACGGGTCCACACGATAATAGGTGAGTTTAGATTACTAATTGCATAGAAACAGCGTCTGTCTGTTGTCAGTTTTTATAGCAGAGAAAAACCGAAGTAATTGCTTTATTATTCTAATTACATGCTTTTGTTGTTCGTGTATGTGTATACATTCCTTTCACTGGCACTGAGTGGAGATTAATTGTCAACGTGACGAAAATTATTTGGTACTGCTACAGTAGTACTGCTTAGGGCGGTAATTTTAATTTTTATGTGTTTGTTTAATTATACACGGTAGGTAGTAAATTATAACTGAATTATTTTATGGAAATCGAATTGAAAGATAGGTATTATGCAATATACACCTTGTACTTGACATTGAATCATATTCAAATCTAGAAAACCACTGTATGTAAAGAAAAAAACATTCGATTAATGTGTACTACCAGTCATGACCTGTGCATGCGAAACCTGGAAACTTAAAACCGACATAATATCGAAACTGCAGGTCACACAATGCTCGATTGAACGAAATATCTGTTGGGAATAGCAAAGAAAGACCATAGAAAATGTAGAACAAGCGGAAGAGGGGTTAATCACCGCGACTTTGAAGATCTATTGCGTCCCCCTTTCTTGAACTATAACTCATTATACAGTCTATAACTCATCATACATGGGGATCTATCTGTTGTAGGGGGGACCTCGGACAACTGTTGGTTCTCCGAGGAGTGGACATTTACCCTCACTCATGGACAGGACATGACTTTGGCCCCCCCTCTCGAATTAATGACTCGCCAACTCGATGTTCTTACACTGCAATTCTGGCAAAGTTGGTGATACACCACCGGTGTTAGCCGGTCCACTTCTACAGATACCCGCATGTAGAGTCTTGCATGTCAGTCTTTGTGCTCTCGATATAGTTGTTTTAATTCTTCGTTTGTTCTTCTGGTCCATATATGTTGTATATCTTCTTTCATCCAAAAATCTTCCTCAGTATTTTTCTTTGCCAAATCTCTAGCCTCGAACTTTCCGTTGCATTGAACGTCCACGTTTCACATGCATACAGCACTATTGGTCGTATCATTATTTTTTACATTCTGATTTTTAAACTTCTAGAGATGTTCTTACTCTTAATAATTTTCTGTAGTGCGCTAACACATCTATTTTCTGCCATTATTTTTACCACAATTTCCTGAGTTACATTTGGTTTCCTTAGAAAGACGGCTCCTAGATATGTAAATGTATCTACTTTCTCAAACTTGTATCGTTTCCCTCTCTCAGAATCTATTTGTCACATCTTCCCTTCTCACAATTCCTATCTGACCACTCCATAAATTTCGTTTTCTTCTCATTACACACTAAGCCTACTTTTTGCACTTGGTCTTCTAGTCTCTTTCCGATCTCTTGTTAAGATAAATAAATCATCTGCAAAGGCTAAGCATTGGTGTCTTTTTGTATACAGAAGGCCCTCTCTGTTGGTTCCCTCATTTTGTATTACTTTTTCTAATACTACACTAAACAGTACTGGAGTTAGTGGATCCCCCTGGACCTCATGCGTCTCTGATTATAAATTTTTCCGTTGTTTTCTTGTTTTTCTTTGACTTTATTTACTGTCTCTTGGAGTGTCAATTTTATCATCTTGGTCAGTTTCTTGCTAACCCCTAATACGATTAATGCTCTAAACACCTCCGTCTTTTTAACTTTGTCATATGCCTGCTGAAAGTCGATAAATACCAGCATTGTCTGTTTTCCGTATTCATAACTCTCCGCTTGTATTTCTCTAAGGGTAAATATTTTGTCAACGGTACTTCTTTTCTCATCAACCTCCCCCACTAATATTTCTTTTATTATGTTGCCAGTACTTCATAAGCTACATTTAGGAGAGCTATACCACTGTAGTTTTGACACACACTCATATCTCCCTTCTTATGTATAGGGCAGATTATTGCTTCTTTCCACTCTTTTGGTATATTTCTTCTTTCTCCCATTCGTCTTTCAGTAGATCCTGGATGTGTTCCGTCAACTTGGACCCTCCATACCTCAGCCGGTAAATGATCATTTCCGGGACTTTTGTCGTTCTTTAAATTCTGGATTACATTCGTGGTTTAAATTCTTTGTACACTTTCATAATTCGGTGGGAGTACCTCTTTATTCTGATGTTCTACAGTGTGTTTCAAAACAAATGCGAAAAACTTCAGGGGGTGATTTCTTGTTCAAAATAAAGGGTAGTTTGCTTCATAAACGTTGGGTCAAAAGTCAACCATTAGGGAGATATCGCCGTACAAAAATGGCGGATAAATAATGTTTTTATTTTTTATCTTGAAAACGAAAAGAGATAGACTAATGAAATTTTATGAAAGCATTACTGTTATGAAAACACCCTTTCTGGTAATTTTTTTACTTTTTTAAAATGAGTGGAAGGGATTGAAATAAACTACCCCTATCATTCTTGTTAACGAAATTTAAAGAAAAATCTTATCAAACACATGCAAAAAAATTAATTTGGGTAGTTTAGTTTGTTTAGAAACTTTTTTATCTCTTGTATTTTTTTGATAAAACTCACCGATTTGAAATTAAAAAATAAAATGTAAAGCATTACATGTCAGGACAAAAAAAAATTTTAGATTAAGAATCTAGTGATAATAACAATAATAATAATCATCTAGATAATAACCTATTGCAGTAATGTCAAATAAAATAATATTAGAAACATGCTCAGCGGCCGACTAAATTTTTTCCTAAAAAAAATACAGCAGCCCACTAGATTCTTTATCAGAAAATGTTTTTTGTCCTGACATGTAATGCTTTACATTTTATTTTTTAATTTCAAATCGGTGAGTTTTATCAAAAAAACACAAGAGATAAAAAAGTTTTTAAACAAACTAAACTATCCAAATTAATTTTTTTGCATGTGTTTGATAAGATTTTTCTTTAAATTTCGTTAACAAGAATGATAGGGGTAGTTTATTTCAACCCCTTCCACTCATTTTAAAAAAGTAAAAAAATTACCAGAAAGGGTGTTTTCATAACAGTAATGCTTCCATAAAATTTCATTAGTCTATCTCTTTTCGTTTTCAAGATAAAAAATAAAAACAATATTTTTTCGCCATTTTTGTACCGCGATATCTCCCTAATGGTTGACTTTTGACCCAACGTTTATAAAGCAAACTCCCCTTTATTTTGAACAAGGAATCACCCCGTGAAGTTTTTCGCATTTGTTTTGAAACACCCTGTATATTTCTTTCATCATCCTCCTTCTTGTCTCTCATATCCTCGCTTTCATTTATATTAACTTCGCGGTTGATATTATTTGTCCTTCTTTGTCTTTAATATACTGGGTCGCTTTTATGTATGGAAACGGTCGATTATTAGGTAAAATATAGGAGGTACCGCAAAAAGTTAAATACAAAAGTTATAGGATTTTTAAATATCTATTAGCGAGTAATCCATTCTTCCATCAATTGTAAGCAAAAATCGAAATACACACAATGTACTTCAAACCAACCGTTTCCGAGTTATTCGCTTTTGAAAATATCACTTAAAAAATTCAATTTAATTAATTTCGATGTGTTTGGTTTGATTTGACGATGCCATTCTGCCGAAACTGTGATATTGTTGTAATGGGGTTTTTAAATTCCTATTAGCTACTAGTAAATTTAAGTATACAGGGTCGGTCATAAAGCTGTGTCACATAAAACTTTTTTTTAATGTAACCGCCTGTATATTATTGCATATTTCAATTCTTCATTCAGTTTTAAGCAATAATCGTTATACACAATGTACAGGGTGGTCGGAATTGATCTGTTTTAACAGAGAAAACCTATTTCCTGACTAGATAGAGCAAAACCGACATAGATATCATGGGCTCGATTTCTGAGACGTGTTTAATAGCATAAACCGCCTGTTGATATTTTCACTGCCAACTCAGATACGGGGTCTTTTTGAGTTTTTTACCATTTTGAAAATTGTCCATAACTTTTTTAATTCGGGGAATAATAAAATTCTGTAAAGACGTTCTTAAGGCACTTTTTTAAGCACAATCCAGTGGCGTAGTAAGTTTTTTCTATGCTTGCTCTTTTTGTCAGAAATAATAAAACATATAATTTTTTAAATGGAAATCATACTTGGCTATGAACTGTATAAAGTTATGGGTACCTATTTCTAAGAATGAGAGAAATATTAGGTTTCTCATCTTTGTATCGAAGTGTGCCTTGATTTTGTGTTGACCTAGTTGTCGAATTATCTTTTATCGCAATTTAATATTCTATATTATTATTTATCTGCATAATTAGAGACTTTTGAAAAGGTAAATTAATATTCTATATTAGTTTTAGTAATTACAATTGAAATCGATACAATAAACAAAGAACAAAGCTAAAAAACATATTTTTTGAGTGACGATTATAGTTTTCTAAAAAAAATAATCAGATGTCCGACCTCCTTGTTGAATATATAATAAACATCTTTTGCGCACAGAGTTACAGCGATTTATTAGGCGAACTGGTGTAATAAGTCCAAAAGCTTGCCTATTATAGTAGCCTTCTGCAATTCTTCTCTCGTCCCAATGGTTCCTCCTTTATATATAAGGTCTTTTAATTTTCACCATAAAAAATTCGAAAGGAGTTATGGGGTCCCCTGTTTCAATCCGATTCTCTATAAATTCTCCATTTAATGACGTTTTAATTGTAATTTGTAAAACTAATACAGAATGTTGATTTATCTTTTCAAAAGTCTTTAATTTTGCAGATAAATAATAATATAGAATATTAAATTGCGATGAAAAATAATTAGGCAACTAGGTCAACACAAAATCAAAGCCCGCTTCGATACAAAGATAAAAAAACCTAATATTTCTCTCACTGTTAGAAATAAATACCCATAACTTTATATCGTTGCAAAGGGTTAAATATCAGCATTTTTGTAAGTTCATAGCCAACTATGATTTTCATTTAAATAATTATATTTTTTATTATTTCTGACAAAAAAAGCAAGTATAGAAAAAAACTGACTACGCCACTGGATTGTGCTTAAAAAAGTGCCTTAA